TTGCAAAAGGGCACATGGGTTGGGATAGATGGTTGTGGTTATCTTCAGAGACAATCTATCAGAGTTAGCTTTTATCAAAGCAAACCACCCATGTCTCCTCTCTTCTTAAAAATTGTTAATGCTTCGAGTGGTGCTTAGAATAAAATCCAAACTCCCAACCTGTCCAAAAAGGCTTGTGGCTACCTCTTACCTTACACTGACCTTTTGGTTCCTCCCACACCAAGACCTGACCTTTTTCCTTGGTTTTTCCAGCTGGTGATACACCTTCAGAGTAATTCTTTCCATCCTTACTTTCTCTGTGCTAGCTCTCTTTCAGAGAGGTCTTCTCTGACTATCCCTGTAAATCACATTTCTCTGTTTATTTCTTCAAAGAACACTAAAAACATCCCACCAATTTCCATTTATTTGTTTGTTTATTTAGCATTAGTCAATGATTAAAAGGATGAAGCACCCCCCCCCTCCTTCAGCAACTCAGCAGGCTGAGGCAGAAGGATCACAAGTTGAAGACCAGTCTCAGCAATTTAGCAAAGCCCTAAGCAACTTCATGAGGCCCTGCTTCTAAATAAAAAAGTTAAAAGGTCTGGGGATGTAGCTTAGTGGTAAAGTGCCTCTGGGTTCAGTCCCAATCCCCTCCACTGCCCCCCCCCCAAAAAAGAAAAAAATGTTATAAAATATAAATCTCTAAAATGGCTATGAGTATGTTTGCTCATTTAAGGGCAGAGTGTTTCCCTCTGAGAATGGGGGTTGATTATAGTCAGAGGAGAGAGAGAAATTAACTTTTCAGTAGATATTCTTTTGTGCTGTTAGGGTTTGTTGTTATTCCCACAGTATGTTTTTATGGTGCTGGGGACTGAACCTGGATCCTGGTACATGCTAGACAAACACCACTGAGCCACATTCCTAGCCCTGGGTTCTTTTACCATATTTATGTTTTTAAAATAGTTGAACATTATTTTAATAAAATCTCTTTCCATGATGGTCTGCCTCAGTGAACATGATTTCATGAATATTCATGATTTCATGAGTTTCATCAACTGTCTTAGGTGAGACAGAGGCTCTGAGCTGCCCTCTTGAGAAATCTCTTTGGGTTCTCTGGATATAAGGAGTCCAGCAAGATCCTGCAGCAGGCTCTTTTCTTTGTTTGCTTTGAGAGAGAGTGAATAGCTTTAAATACATATTTAAAAGGAAAGCGTGAAAAGCTTTCAACATGTGAATCCCAGGAACCAGGCACAATGCCATGAGATGCCTCAAAATACCCTAGGATGCAGGATGCAGGCTGTATTTAATTGTTTGCCCTATTCAGGACTGCAATTACTCTGCCTACATTGTGCAGGTTTCTTTTAAATAGCTCTCATATTCTTTGTCACAAGACATCTAATTGGTAACAGCAAAATAATTCACTGAAATAAGGAAACAAACTTTTGGCCTTTAAAACTCAGAATTTCAAGCAAAAGTACATTTAGATTTTATGCTTTAGTTTAGCATACAGTGTAATATGGCCATTTAAACCAGAAAAGGAACTGAATCACTTGATGGTTGTGTTCTAAATAAAAGGAATGATGACAATGGACAATTTTATTATAACAAGAAGTTTTCTCTTTTGTTGGTTAAGAAGTTTTTCAGCACCACCCCCCCCCTTCCTCTCAGTGAAAGCCTATAAATTAAATGGCCTAAGAAAGCAGACAAATTTTTGAGTGTTTATGTGGGTTCTTGATCTTTCTTTCTTTCTTTCTTTCTTTCTTTTTTGGACTGGGGATTAAACCCTGGGGCATTTTACTAACTAAGCAACGTCCCCAGCCCCTTATTTTTTAAAAATTTTCAGGTAGGGTCTCACTAAATTGCCGAAGATATTGCTAAATTGCCAAGGCAGCCTCAAACTTGTGATCCTCCTGCCTTGGCCTCCAGAGTAGCTGGGATTTCAGGCTTGTATCCCCAAACAGGATGAGATTTTCTTCTTGACCTAGGAGATTGGAAGCCAGCTCTTTAATTCCCTCCCACCTTTTTCAGTTCAATGGTGTAATGTAGCCTTTAGCCTTGGCTATTAAATAGGAATAAATTCTCACATAAGAGGCGCCTGAATTTCAAGTAATTCTGCCATTCTTCTTCCTGTGGCACCTGGGTAAATTGTGTAACCTCAGTTTTATTATCTATAAAGTAGGGAAGATAATATTACTTACTCAATATTTTGAAGTTCACATTATTTTGAAATAGTACCTCATTTATGGAAAAAATCTCCATTTACTTTTAGAAAATAATGGGCAAGAAACAAAATTCATCTTGTAATCCCAGTGACTGAAGAGGCCAAGACAGGAGGATTGCAAGTTTGAGTCAGTGTTTGCAACATATTGAGGACCTAAGCAACTTAGCAAAGCCCTGTTTCAAATAAAAAATTAAAAAAGACTGGGGATGTGGCTTAGTGGTTAAGTGCCCCTGGGTTCAATCCCCAGTATCCCCCTGCCCTGCCCAATAAAAAGCATTTAATTGTCATTTTATTGTGATTCCTTAAAATCTTCAGGGACTCCTGGAGGATGGAGTCTTCAAGCTATCATTTCTTGCATATCAGCTCATTCCTAAGTACTTGTTTATAGTTCACAGTTCATTTTTACCTCACTATGGCATTTCCCAAGGATTACAGTGAGAAGAAATCTTGTCTTCTCCCTCTTCCTAAAGTTTTTCTCAAAATACGCTAGGTCTGTATTAAGAAATCTCTACCTTTCCCTTCTCTATCCCTCTACACTCTCTTTTTTTCTTTTCTTTTCTTTTCTTTTCTTTTGTACATGTCCTAAGCCTTGGTCAAGTATAAGGCCACTTGCCATGGTTACATACAAAGAATGAGAACACTCTGGTAGAGAGACATCCACAGACAAGCTGAGCTCCAAGACAGAGAATGGCCAAGATAGCCACTAATTCACTGAGCAGATCCCACACTGGGTTTCTAAAAGACTTTTAGGGTTCTTGTCCTGTTTTTCAATTTTTATTTAAATTCTGAACAAGAATTCACACAAATGATTTTTAAATTCTAGAATTGTTCCAAGGATTTTTTTTCCCAACAAGTCTCTTGTCTGAAAACTGACAGTATTGAAATAATAATAGCAAAAAATGAAAAGCAATACATGTTTACCTGTCTTATTTATTCAAAATTTGCTAATACTATATATTTCTCAAATGACAGTGAATTAGAATGTCTTTAACCTGTATATCACTCTTTTATCTAGCTGTGAGTAGAGAATAATTGAAAACTTTATTTTCATTTGATTTTTGTGGTACTTGCTCCTTTTTATTCTCAAGATGGTCCTATTCTCAAATAGAGTGTGCTCTGATCTATTGCTGGTATTTCTCCCAAGAGCTCTCTTCTTGGGGAATGGCCACCCTTGGGTCCATGGGGCATATACACTTAGTAACCACCGCATGGATGCCCTAGTAGGTCTGAGTCTGGGATGATGCTATTCTGTCTTTTAGGGTCTTATAAGTAGCTCTCTGCAGCTTGAATCAGGCCAGCTCAAAGGCTTTCCCAGGCTAGTAGGCTAGCTCTGGGAGAGAAGCAAGTCTTCATAGTCATTCTGGGAAAGTCTTCTTCCCCAGGGCTTCCTTTTATAGAAAGGATAAAAATGTGCTAGAAAAATTACCCCTAGGAAATGAACTTGGAAAGAACCTGAGTTTTATTTCATTTTCCTTTAATCTTCCTAATAACTCTTAGGGGATAATGTTTTATTGATGAAGAGACAGTATTGAAGTAGAGCCTGCTTATGCTGGTTATGCTGTTTGTATCCCACTCCAGGCTGGGAGCACTACCTGCTGGAGTAGTCTGCCCTCCCTACTCATTATTGTCTCCACTAGGTCCAGGCTTTCTTGTCCTCTGGTTTTCCCTTGGATTTGACCAAAGGGAAACTTCTACAAAAGAGTGGCGGGAAGGTGTGATTGGAGAGATCTGGGTATTTCCTTCTACTGCTGTGTCCTGAATGTCAGATGGTTCCAGCAGTGGCTACTTCCCCTTCAGCTAAAATGCCTTTTTTTGCCTCTCTCCGAAGTATAACTTTATTTATTCTCTCCTTTATAAATTTAGAAGTGGTAATATCTTCCCACTATTGCAAATTCTTGTGTTGATTCCCCAAATTCTGCCCACAACTCTACAAATTGTCCCTTCACTTAAAGGTTTTTCAGTTTCCTCCTAGGAAGGACCTTGACCCATGCAGTCATACCAAGTTACACTTTGTCCACCTGGAAAATCTAGGACTTTCCTATCAGAAGCAGCCACCCACTAGAAGATGTTTACATCTACTTTCAACACCCAGGAATACTAAATAATCCAGGACACAAGTGATGATTTGACAGAACTAGAGCTCCTCTATTTCTGCCCTTAGCATCCTTGGACCCCACCAGTAATCAGCAGCAGGTAGTGCTCAGTAAAGAAACTGCACCCTTGGGGCCCAGACAGTCTTCAGCCTGAGCTGCCTTTCTCCTTTTCTCCTCTGTCACAACACCTGCTGAACTGCAGGCACCTGTAGGATCTGGATCACCTTGCTGGCCAGCTGGTTTTTTTCTTATTGTGTTTAAGAGAAGGAAGTTCATCCACGTGATTTTTTTTTCCAGCCCTCTGGGAGGGTGGGTACAGTATGTCTTGTGGTGAAAAGCTTATGAAGGAAGAAAGCACGTTTTAGTCTCACCCCCACATCATCGTTGCTTTTCCTATTTGAAAATTGTTCACCCCCTAAACACACACACACACACACACACACACACACACACACACACCTCCCACAAAAGCCTGGAAACATTTCATGTGGGATTATAGTCTAGGCAACAATGAGACTTGAGTAGGTGGCTCTGAATAGCCCCTGAGCGTGTTGTACACCTGAGGCCTTTTCCAAAAGGCTGCAGAAGAATTATTATTTAGTCTAGGCAGCCACTAGGCATGTGATTTCTTCAGAAACATTTATATCTGCGTAGGCCTGAGTTTTGAATATTCTTGGTGGGAAACACTTTGAACCATAAAGACACATTAAAAAGCAATTGCTATGGAGACTGCACTGCCGCTGAGCATTTCCCTGAGTTCTTTTCTCGGGGTACTTCAGCATCCACCTGGTGTCCTCGGCAGGCATGCTGCTCTGGGGTGGGGGCCTGGGCGCAGCAGTGTTGGGGGAAAGCCTGTTTGGAACCCGAACCTTAGCCCAGGACTGAAAGTTGGAGACTGCGGCCCAAGGAAGGGCACTGCTGGTGTGTATGTAGCGGGATGCCAGGAGGTTTCTCGGGATGTGCAGCCTCCCTGCACCCCCAGCCCCCAGCGGCTCGGCCGCCTTTGCGGACCACGTGCAGTAGCTCCGCGTGGGGGCCCCTGGCGCGCAGCCGCGGTGGGTGACAGCGCAGCGTCCGGGGGCCAGTGCTCGGCGTGTGTGTCTGTGTGAGTGTTTCTTTGGGTGGAGGACGCCGCGCCGCCCCGCACCCCTCGTTGGG